AATGTTATTGCTTCCCCCGTATGTTTTTTTTTTAATAGGATTTAATTACGTCATATTACATCTCCATCACTCTACCTTACAAATACAGTCCTGGGTTTTGAAGTAACTTTTTTAAAAAAAAATAATGTACTTTGCACAAGAGAGGACCTCAGTAAGTCTGCTTCAAGGCACGAGCGCCACTTCGCCAAGAGCAACAAGGTCACAAGGTCATGGTCCGAGAGCCTTTTTGGTTGAGGCCTGGCCCTCTAGGCTAAAGGCCATTGCCTCTAAGTCAAATCGTTGGTCCAATGCCACACCCTTGAGGTCAAGGTCAAGAACGGGAGCTGAGAAAACATCCTCGAGCCTCGAGGCCCTGAATGGGTCTCGCCAACCTTCAGCAACCCCCCCCCCCCCCCTCTTCAAAGCACACATCAAAACACATACAAGATTCAACAAACACACGGCGGTGATGTTGCCATCTGTTTCAAACATCGGCTGTTATATTTTATTGGCGCGAATCTTCACAGTGATGCCTGTGCACGGAGCCACGTGCCAGAGTGCATCCCAACTGACTTCTCAATAACCGCCCGCCCCACCCCCCTTCCCAAGGTGGATTTGATTGACAGCTGAACTCCTGCCTCAGCTCCGCGCACATGATCCACCCGATTAACGTTTCACAAGTGAGCTGGGAGCAATGTGCTCGCTCACAGGCATGCAACGCAGCTGTGTCACGCTGTGGAACGGGGGGGGGGGGCAATTTAAAGGTGTTTTATGCAAATGAGGCAAGGGATACCCACAGTGCTGTACAAAGTGATGAACAAAATGGCCTTTGTGGTGGATGAACAAGGCATGTGTTACACTGCGCCGATGATTTTGTTTTATGCAAATTTACACTGAAGGTACCCCCAAGCCACCACGAACTCTCACGGTTTTATAATGTAACAGTTCACGTAGCATCCTTACTCGAGCTGATTTTATCACTCTATCTCCTCGATGGACATCCTCTTGGACACGTTCCATTTCTTGGCTGCCACTCCATAATTATTTCTGACCATCGGCCACCGTCTCTTTCCAGCGACGTGTCCTGTCCAAACCCCCTTTACTGATCTTAAGAGTTTGAATTATGTCAGACGGAGTCACAGTCATCACTGCCTTGTTATTAATTTTGAGAGACATTGGCACGAATAAACAGATCAACTCACATTTGCAATCCAACCTTGCAAGCTGCTCGTGAATGTACATGCGATGACATTTGGGGTGAGTCAATACAGCGGAATGAGACAGAGATGTCACCAGCTGGGTTTAAAAATTTAAAACGACGATGCTTGGGAATAATTCATGAGGAGCGACAACACGTTAGCTCATGTTAAATGCAGGGCCTGTCAGTGGCCCGTGTCAGAACCGCACGGTGTGAGGTACCGGTCGTGCCCTGCCCCCGTAGGTAATGACCATGGGCTTAATTTCAACCGGGTCTGTGTAGGTCAGATACAGTGAGGGAAAAAAGTATTTGATCCCCTGCTGATTTTGTACGTTTGCCCACTGACAAAGAAATGATCAGTCTATAATTTTAATGGTAGGTTTATTTGAACAGTGAGAGACAGAATAACAACAACAAAATCCAGAAAAACGCATGTCAAAAAATGTTATAAATTGATTTGCATTTTAATGAGGGAAAAAAGTATTTGACCCCTCTGCAAAACATGACTTAGTACTTGGTGGCAACACCCTTGTTGGCAATCACAGAGGTCAGACATTTCTTGTAGTTGGCCACCAGGTTTGTACACATCTCAGGAGGGATTTTGTCCCACTCCTCTTTGCAGTTCTTCTCCAAGTCATTAAGGTTTCGAGGCTGACGTTTGGCAACTCGAACCTTCAGCTCCCTCCAAATATTTTCTATGGGATTAAGGTCTGGAGACTGGCTAGGCCACTCCAGAACCTTAATGTGCTTCTTCTTGAACCACTCCTTTGTTGCCTTGGCCGTGTGTTTTGGGTCATTGTCATGCTGGAATACCAATCCACGACCCATTTTCAATGCCTTGGCTGAGGGAAGGAGGTTCTCACCCAAGATTTGACGGTACATGGCCCCGTCCATCGTCCCTTCTGATGCGGTGCAGTTGTCCTCTCCCCTTAGTAGAAAAACACCCCCAAAGCAAAATGTTTCCACCTCCATGTTTGACGGTGGGGATGGTGTTCTTGGGGTCATAGGCAGCATTTCTCCTCCTCCCAACACGGCGAGTTGAGTTGATGCCAAAGAGCTCCATTTTGGTCTCATCTGACCACAACACTTTCACCCAGTTGTCCTCTGAATCATTCAGATGTTCATTGGCAAACTTCAGACGGGCATGTATATGTGCTTTCTTGAGCAGGGGGACCTTGCGGGCGCTGCAGGATTGAAGTCCTTCACGGCGTAGTGTGTTACCAATTGTTTTCTTGGTGACTATGGTCCCAGCTGCCTTGAGATCATTGACAAGATCCTCCCGTGTAGTTCTGGGCTGATTCCTCACCGTTCTCATGATCATTGCAACTCCACGAGGTGAGATCTTGCATGGAGCCCCAGGCCGAGGGAGATTGACAGTTCTTTTGTGTTTCTTCCATTTGCGAATAATCGCACAAACTCCTGTCACCAAGCTGCTTGGCAATGGTCTTGTAGCCCATTCCAGCCTTGTGTAGGTCTACAATCTTGTCCCTGACATCCTTGGAGAGCTCTTTGGTCTTGGCCATGGTTGAGAGTTTGGAATCTGATTGATTGATTGCTTCTGTGGACAGGTGCCTTTTATACAGGTAACAAGCTGAGATTAGGAGCACTCCCTTTAAGAGTGTACTCCTAATCTCAGCTCGTTACCTGTATAAAAGACACCTGGGAGCCAGACATCTTTCTGATTGAGAGGGGATCAAATTCTTATTTCCCTCATCAAAATGCAAATCAATTTATAACATTTTTGACATGCGTTTTTCTGGATTTTGTTGTTATTCTGTCTCTCACTGTTCAAATAAACCTACCATTAAAATTATAGACTGATCATTTCTTTGTCAGTGGGCAAACGTGCAAAAAATCAGCAGGGGATCAAATACTTTTTTCCCTCACTGTAGGCCCTGCACACCATGTCCAGCACGTATACATCTCGCTATGGCTGTGGCTTGCACTAGTCACGAATATACTGTCCTACCAGCAACACAGAAACTATTCAGTGAAATACGAAGCCCTGACAATTATGTTAAATTGATAGGTGGCTACCACCACCGTCAACACCACACATCTAGACCACAAACCGGATGCAAGTTCAAACTATACAGAAAAAAACGTGAGTTAATACACTACAGCAATAAATTATACAATAACAAGGCAAATTGTCTCGATCTACCGGGGAATCTCTAACAGGACTTACTCAAAGCCTGCGGTCTGCAGTCAAGACTTCACAACAAATAAACACGACAAGCAGGCCACATCACGAAACCGACAATTCAATAACATTTTCTTAAGACGTAAAAGACAAGTCACGGAAAATGTGGCAGAGCAGCCACAGTTTACACCCTGCTCCACCATCAGTTCAGAAACAATTTTGAATAATAACAACACATAGGTGGGTATTGCGGCGGGAGTTTTTGCACAACCACGCACCAATTAGAATTAGCCCATGAGATGGCACAAGTCCACATCCCACGCAGGCTGCGTTGGTCACATCGCTGTGTTATTGATGGGCCATTGTGCGTAAGTCACAGCACATCCGCGTGGCCACATGGAAGAGGGCAGTGGTTGCTCCGGTGGCAGGATCAGCCCTTTGGATCGTGTGGATGACACCGAGCCCGGTTGTTCAAGACGAGTCTGTCAACACTGCTCTGCTGGAGTCGGCACAACGTGCAGCCACCAATGCCTGTAATGTGCGATTTTATAATGCGGTGATGATGTGAATATCGCTGAACCCTTTGAGGTGTTGAGGGTGCATGGGGGTTAAGCGCAGAGCTGGAATTGAGACAAATGGGCAGTTAATCAGCTCACAGCGACATCAGAGAAGGTACGATGGCAGGAGGTTGGGTGGCTAAGTGCGGTGCTCTGTCAACTGATCTTGTAACGCAATGCCCACTTGTGTTCGGGCAATTGGAAGGCAGAAGTGGCTGGTGGTGGGTGTGAATAAAATAAACTCAGGTCATCTACTTGTACATATAATTAGCGCCGATGGATTCTACCATGGTGTAATGGTTATCACGCTGGACTTGCAATCGATATATTGCTGGTTCGACGTCCTGGCATGGGAGCTATCCCAATCGGCAAGTTTATCAAATCCTCCAACCTTTGTCCACCTGGTGGTATAAATGTCTACACCACAGTTAGACGATAGGCAGGTCACGTGTGGTGGGAAGTGTGTGGGCACTCCCACCTTGTCCATGACGTCTGGGCAGTATGGAAGAGTCGACAAAAATAACCTCCCAAAGGGCTCTCTGGAGCAGAGATCGTGTCGGGCTGCACCTTTACATTTTTACTGCACCGACACATCTCGGCCTAATTAATGGCCCTGACAATGACGTGTTCGTGTTCTGGTATTCCTCTGGTGCACTGTCATTAGTACAAATAGAGCACGCGCAGGCTACGATGATAAAGGGCACATATATCGAGCGGAGACATCACCGCCAACCGCAAGTTCACATTACCATTTTGACCACGCTTCTACATTAAATTGCGAACGTGGGTAGTAATTTTCGAATTCAAATACAGTGGATATGCGCTGCATGTGTCAATGAATTGGTGGATGACAAGCAACTGAACTGATCGTGGATGACAGGATTTGTACATTTAAAAACACTCCACTGGCTTGCAAGAAAATTACATTCCAAAAGATTGCTCAAGAAATTGACATAAGGGACACTGAAATAAGCTACAGGAGACATACACAAAATGCATTTATAATTGCGCACGAATAAAATGTTTACGCATCTAATGGGATACGTTGAGAAAGTGCCATCTAAACGCGTGCCAAAATAAGATAGTGTGGTGACTGCACAAAGTAATTTCTGAGACCACAAGCTGAGAAAATGAAAAATTTATACATTTTCGGTAAAGAAATCAAGAGGAAATGAAAGCAAAATTCCAAGCGAGCGTGGCCTTTAGGTGGTCATTCCACGCACATAAAAGAAGAATCTCAATGTGTTACAGAGGCAGCGAGGAACATTTTGTGCTAATTAAGAAGCATCCAACAAATTATTCAACAGCTACATTTTCTGAACACTTTGCATGGGGGGAAAAAAACCATAACAATTTATACCCAGTCTGTTTTTGTGTTCTCATTCGTATTGAGGTATGTTATTGCATGGATGCTATCACCAAGATAGGCTGCCCCTCTCCTTTACTGGAATTGAAATCAGGGCCACAATTATTGTTACCGTACACATTAAACCAATTCTATGTTTACTCGAGACGTGTTAACCATAAATACTTTAACATTTACTTTTACTTTTACCTTTGAAGGCTGGTCTCAATTTAAACATCAATCCAACATTAATAGTGCAACATGTTTTTGGTCGTGATGGAAAAGTGTGTTATCTCCTAGTGAAACATCGACTGCTTTGCATACATACCCTGCTTTTGAAACGTGGAATAATTTAGAGGGGAAAAGGTTTACCGCTTGGACAAAGTCACAAGTCAACTCTGACCAAAACAAAACACTAATATATGCTCCGACAGGCTGAACCCGCTCACCTTGCTGCTCTGAAGACGACTGTCGGTGCTACATCACCGTACCTGTAAGTTAGCGCCAAAGAGATCAAATAGAGGGTTGTAAAACAACACCTTCAGTCGACGATGACGACGATGCACATGACAACGCTGCCCCTTCCCTGCTTCGCGAGTCGTCAGCTCTGCTCGGCTCGTTTTGGCGATGTTCCTCGGCCGAATTTCTGAAGTTTTAGAGGTCTGGCGAGCGTCACAAACTAGGCCATGAAAGACGCCACTGCTGGGGTTGTTACCCCCCCCCCTCCTCCTCCTCCCCCAGGGACGTCCTCTTTATGAAATAGCCATCCTGGGAAATTAATCATTTTCCCGTGACCTTAATAGTCTCGGATTTTGTCAGATGCGTAATAATAATAACAACACTCATGCAGTTCTCCCCTCTTCCCATATTGAGAGATATATTTTTCTTTCCATCTTTGATCCCAGTTTTTATTTGTACCTCTGATGTGCCAACCCCAGCCGCTGTCTCCGACGATGCAAAGTGACGCTGTTGTTTCTCTCAATTTGTCAATTTGTCACCGATGATGGAGACATCTGTTTGGAAAGTTGTTCTCATCAAAAGCAGCTCCCACACCCACAACGTGGCCATTCACTCTCTGGCTTCGAAGGTGACGAGAGAGTTTTACTCATCCACGACAGAGCGTCAGCTCACAGGAAGAAACGTCAGGCTTGGCTGGCGCGGAGGTGGTTGCGTTGGTGTAGCCGAGTTTGGGGGCTCGAGACGCCATGTGGAATGGTGGCAGAGGCACGCAAGAGGTGTGACCGAGAATTTGACTCTGGCTGCGATCTGGAAGCGTTGATCAGGAGCGGCAGTTTTAGATCTCCTCCAGGAACTCTTGAGGCACCAGGCCAACTTTGCGGCCATTGGACACCTTGACGAAGCCATTTGATTCTCCACCTTTCTCCACACACACCTGTGAAGGTAATTGAGAAATCGGGCATGACCAGCGTGGCGCCCAGACATTCAATATGCGAGTCATACCCAAAATACACAGCAGACAGCCGATAACATTGCAAGTTAATTGTTGTTATCACAATGGGAGGAACCGATTGCTAATTAGCAAATGATTAATTTTATGGCACGGCAAAGTTCATTCGTAATCATTTAGGGCTATTTTCTTGATAACAGTAATTAATATTAACGAGCATCTCAACGCCAAATGCCTGTCGTTAAAAATACATTCTTGAAAGAGTAGATACTTTTTTACAACCGGAGATTTCCATCGCGGATGCTGCACCACGCGTCGTCTCTCGAATACAAAGTGCAAAATCTTACTCTTAACAGGGTCCTTAGGACTCACAGCCATTCCGGAATGTTGGAGGCCAACGTACCAATCAATATTGACCATGCTCCAGGGAAAAGGTTGGGAGTGCAATGGGGAACCATGAAAAACACACTCCTTTGATGAATGCGTGTTTTTGTGGGTTTGAAGTTATGAAGTACCTTGCCGGGCTGAACATGAAGCCGATGCACATTTTATCTGTTTAATTATGCATTTGCAAACTCACTTTTAATTTATCCTAATTATGTGCTTGGTCGAACGAGACGTAAGCATTCAGTGGAAGCATCAGAAAGAAGCGATTTGCCGGTGCTCACTTGTAACGGCACTTGCATCTCGTTGGTCGTTCATGCCTCCCGGCATTTGGATTTTTTTAAATCGACTTGTGCACGCATCGCATAGCCAACGTCCACACTTGCTCACTCGCTGGTCCCGCTCACTCAAATTGACAAACGAAACTCTCCCACTGCCTCGTGATGGTTTAATGTTCCAGATTCCAGAGCTGTGACAATCAGCCAATGCTGTTAACTGTGACTGAGCTAATGAAGTTAAAATGCTAATGTAGCCATGCCAGCCGTTTCTTTAACGTCCCTGTACACATCGCTGGCCATTATCATCTTTAGCCATGGTAAATCCACTGCTGGATGAAGGCCTCCCAAATGCCCGTTTGCAACAATCCACCTCGTACCCGCACACCAAGCTGATTTTGTCGCTCAGTCTCCACTTAGTGGACAGACTCTTGGATGCCTTCCATTCCTTGGCTGCCATTCCGTCATTATGTTTGACCATCCACCGTTCGAGCATCGTGTCGTGTCCAAGTCCACTCGCGTGACACCAGCCAGCACTGCCACCTGCTCCCGAGTGTGGGCCAATGATGCAAACGTGGCCGTGTTTTGTAGCAATTTAATTTACCTCTACTGGACATCGCTACTTGTGCAGCTCTAAATCACTACAAAGGAGGCTACTGTTGGATTGGATCTGACCACAGTTGAAGTTGAATGTCACAAACAGTTTAGTGATTTCATGCCCTTTGTTAATAGCCTGCAGGTTGAAGGCCTCTTCCGCACTGTTTTGGTTGTGAAGGTTTGTTTGACCATACTTCACCATGTTGGTCAGTGCGGGTTGGTGAAGGGGGAGCTGGGTTCAGATATCACTTTCCAGTGATGTCAGTTGTTGTCGAAAATTTAGTTCAGGTGACCACATTCGCAGTCGTTAATGCATTAACTGTAACCACTATGCTGCTACTCCTCCTCCCCAACATTGGATTAGTGTCAATTTATAACACGAGTCTAGGTTTGGGTGCTATTATTAAAGCTTTTTTGAGCCCATAATTAAGGGCAGCAAAACATATACTCGGACGATTGTGTTATTTTTAGAATAGCAAATTTTTGTACATTTGGCAAATAGTCAAATAACCCACACAACCAATTATAATATGGTTTTCATTTCATCCTCCTATAAAATTAATACTTCAAAAAATGAGTATATGTGTTGGCATATTAGAATGCAGTGCTTAACAGTAACATCCAGTTCGGCTAAATCCACATTTCTCACATCTGCAGATTCAAACTCTTCACCCTTTACAGCCATCAAGCGTGAGAAACTACAGTTGTGCTCAGGGCAAAGTCTGCTAATTTATTTTGAGTCTTCATTCGAATGCAATCAGGCTGAAGCTAGACAACGCCTTAGGACAATCCCCATGCTGCTGCAGCTGCTGCAAAGGCCTAACGTTTATTCCCGGCTTAAAGACGAAGGAGATCCATCCGTCGTATTTACAGCAGAACATCGGCTGGATCAACTGTGCCCGACATCAGGTGACCAACGACAGCGTTCCATTCCGATCTCTCAGCACGGACGGCGGTGCTCGTGGGGGGAGAACACACGCCGACGGTGCCGACGTGACGAGAGACGCGCAGCGGCGATCCGATAACCCCCCCCCCCCTCCCACCACGCTCGCCCACTGCAGCATGGAAAAAGAGGGCAAATCCACTTCGGGAGCGCACGCGGCGACGGCACAAAGGGTGGCCTCGCCGCATTCCTCCCGGCTCGCGCGACGAAAGCGATTTGTCACCGCGGTCGCCGCGGCCGAGCTCCTGCCGGCGTGACGGAGACTCTCGGACGTGGCGAAGGGAACTCGTCCGAGCCGCGTGCGAACTCTACACCGCGCGACGGCGGAGCCGCGTGCCCGGTGACAGAATGTCCCCGCCGAGTCATCTCTGCCAGCATGCTCAATTTGAATAACAATCATAATATAAGCACCATTCCCCACCGTAGTCAGGGTTTTCACGCCAGGCACAGATAATCGTGGGACAGAATAGGATAAACGTATTGTGGAGATGAGAGAATGGAGTTTTGCCCATTCTTTTAGTTCGGTACAAGCACGATATGGTAGGGGTTGATCTGTGTCAAATAAGGAATGTTGAAATTAAAGCAGACGAGTGGAACAGCAATTAATAGCCAGAGCATTGTTTACATCATTTGTATTACAATGAAGCTATGAATAAACGGTTTTACTTTTCTTAATTCAAAATGCATGTTTTGTGGTGGCCACCTTTGGAGTCTTCAAAAGTGGAAGTGATGTCATGCCGTTTTTAGCATAGAGGCGGCGCTCCTCTCCCTTGACCAGTGGTGGAAATTCCACATTCATATGGCAGGGCCAAGTCTATCCATGCAACTACACTGTTGACTTCCCCGCATAGTGATGCTCATTCTATCGCGCCCCCCCCACCCCCCCCCCGAGGGATGATGGGTCGAGTCAACCCCTAGCCAGACTTTGAACTTGCAACCTTACTGTCGCGAGCCCCTCGCTCTATCGCTGAGCCACCCTGGCCGAGCATCCCATTTGCTCCGTGCTCGCTAAACCAGGCCCAGGGCATGCGCTCTCGCCTCTGGTGAGCCTCTGGTGGGCCTCTGGTGGGCCTCTGGTGCGCCTCTGGTGCGCCTCTGGTGCGCCTCTGGTGCGCCTCTGGTGGGCCTCTGGTGGGCCTCTGGTGCGCCTCTGGTGGGCCTCTGGTGGGCCTTTGGTGGGCCTCTGGCGGGCCTCTGGCGGGCCTCTGGTGGGTCTCTGCCGGGCTTCTGGTGGGCCTCTGGTGGGCCTCTGGTGTGCCTCTGGCGGGCCTCTGGGGGGCCTCTGGCGGGCCTCTGGCGGGCCTCTGGTGGGCCTCTGGTGGGCCTCTGGTGGGCCTCTGGTGTGTTGCTGACCCCCTCACCTGCTCCTGCTTGAGCGTGAGCTGCCCCAGCTGCTTGTTGCCCACAAAGGTGCGCAGCGCCTGGAAGACTCGCTCCCCGGGACGGACGCGCACCACGAAGTTAGCGGGGAAGTATCCCACCCTGTCCCCGAGCTTGCCCTGGAGGAAGGGGGCATGCCGTGCATGTACAGTGAGGGGAAAAAGTATTTGATCCCCTGCTGATTTTGTACGTTTGCCTACTGACAAAGAAATGATCAGCCTATAATTTTAATGGTAGGTTTATTGAACAGTGAGAGACAGAATAACAACAACAAAATCCAGAAAAACGCATGTCAAAAATGTTATAAATTGATTTGCATTTTCATAATAAAGGTTTTTGGGTTTGATCGCGTTATTTATAAATGTGTCGTAACCCTCCACCACCCGACACGGCCAATCAGCAAAAAAGTGTCACGTTGACAAAAGACAATTACACAACATTTACAGTTTGAATACGACGTTTTGCTGGTAATTACATCCAGCATCATCGGGCAATTCGCCAGAATGGTAAAGCCCTCACTTGCTCCCGATCTTAAATAGAGCAGCAGCAGGGTGACATCATCATTTAACTCATTCAGGTGCAGTAATTATATAATCGATTGGTAATCAGTCAATGGTTATGATTAGTAATGAGTTGTAGATTAGTAATTAGTTGTAATGTGTGTTATTGTGATTATATGCTACATTAGTAATCCGTTAATTAGTATGTGTTTCCCCTATAAGGAATTGTAATATGTATTATTTAATAATACGATTCCAAGCCGCAGCTATAGGCTTAGTGCAGCTATAGGCTTGGCCGTGTTGGGCGGTGGAGGGTTACGACACATTTATAAATAACGCGACCTAACCCAAAAACCTTTATTATGAATAATACTGGTTGTGAAAGCCTACGTGTTAAACTGATATGGATTTTAATGATGGAAATAAGTATTTGACCCCTCTGCAAAACATGACTTAGTACTTGGTGGCAAAACCTTGTTGGCAATCACAGAGGTCAGACGTTTCTTGTAGTTGGCCACCAGGTTTGCACACATCTCAGGAGGGATTTTGTCCCACTCCTCTTTGCAGATCTTCTCCAAGTCATTAAGGTTTCGAGGCTGACGTTTGGCAACTCGAACCTTCAGCTCCCTCCACAGATTTTCTATGGGATTAAGGTCTGGAGACTGGCTAGGCCAATCCAGGACCTTAATGTGCTTCTTCTTGAGCCACTCCTTTGTTGCCTTGGCCGTGTGTTTTGGGTCATTGTCATGCTGGAATACCCATCCACGACCCATTTTCAATACCCTGGCTGAGGAAAGGAGGTTCTCACCCAAGATTTGACGGTACATGGCCCCGTCCATCATCCCTTTGATGCGGTGAAGTTGTCCTGTCCCCTTAGCACAAAAACACCCCCAACGCATAATGTTTCCACCTCCATGTTTGACGGTGGGAATGGTGTTCTTGGGGTCATAGGCAGCATTCCTCCTCCTCCAAACACGGCGAGTTGAGTTGATGCCAAAGAGCTCCATTTTGATCTCATCTGACCACAACACTTTCACCCAGTTGTCCTCTGAATCATTCAGATGTTCATTGGCAAACTTCAGACGGGCATGTATATGTGCTTTCTTGAGCAGGGGGACCTTGCGGGCGCTGCAGGAATTCAGTCCTTCACAGCGTAGTGTGTTACCAATTGTTTTCTTGGTGACTATGGTCCCAGCTGCCTTGAGATCATAGACAAGATCCTCCCGTGTAGTTCTGGGCTGATTTCTCACCGTTCTCATGATCATTGCAACTCCACGAGGTGAGATCTTGCATGGAGCCCCAGGCCGAGGGAGATTGACAGTTCTTTTGTGTTTCTTCTATTTGCGAATAATTGCACCAACTGTTGTCACCTTCTCACCAAGCTGCTTGGCAATGGTCTTGTAGCCTATTCCAGCCTTGTGTAGGTCTACAATCTTGTCCCTGACATCCTTGGAGAGCTCTTTGGTCTTGGCCATGGTGGAGAGTTTTGAATCTAATTGATTGATTGCTTCTGTCGACAGGTGTCTTTTATACAGGTAACATGCTGAGATTAGGAGCACTCCCTTAAACAGTGTTCTCCTAATCTCAGCTCGTTACCTGTATAAAAGACAACTGGGAGCCAGAAATCTTTCTGATTGAGAGGGGGTCAAATACTTATTTCCCTCATTAAAATGCAAATCAATTTATAACATTTTTGACATGCGTTTTTCTGAATTTTGTTGTTGTTATTCTGTCTCTCACTGTTCAAATAAACCTACCATTAAAATTAAAGACTGATCATATCTTTGTCAGTGGGCAAACGTACAAAATCAGCAGGGGATCAAATACTTTTTTCCACTCACTGTACACGCGCAAAGACGAACATTCCCCGTGTGGCCTTTCACAAGCTGTTGGTGAGCACCTGTGAGGACGGACACAGCGCACGAGGGGCTGGATGGTTGGCGCCACACCCGGGCCGCCTTTATCTCCCCAGTGGCAATGATTACGCATCGCACCAGGTACGCATTTAAGGCAGAGTCAACCTAGGGGATGGCTCAGCTCCGATAAAAATATCTGCCACTGTCACTGCTCGTGAGCGGGAATCGAACTTGCGTCCGCCGGGGGCTCGCAGTGCAGCGTTGCTCACCACCGGATTAAGGCTCGACAACAACAACAACAACAAACGTCGTTCACCATTAAGAGGTGGCGACGTCACCGCGGTGCTTGTGCCATGCTAGGTGCACTTTTAGGCCACGTGAAGTGCCGAAGACCTGCTGGCAGGTGGTCACGGTAACAGACCCAGATGCACGGAAACGTCATAAACGCAGAGACGCGTACACACAAGTGCGCACCCACAATAACACACGCATTAATGCAAGCACGCGTGGACACATATCAGCACACGCGCCCATCCATGCATCAGCCCCAGGCATGCACGCGAAGACGTGCACACACGCATACGCGGGCTCACATCTATTCATGCACCGGCATGTATAAATGCACAAAAATTTATACTGGCAGTTTGTCGGTGGTACCACATTATAGTTTGTGAGTGCAGACAACTACAGGGTGGATCCATCTAAAGATAAGCCACCGATTTCAAATGAAACCTCACGGATTTGTATTCCGCAAGTGATTGCACAGTGTGAAAGTGATGGCTCAATAGCTAACAGAAGGAGAGTGATTTTACGAGTGAGTTTATGAGACTGGTGGGAGACAACTCGAGGTACTAAAATAAAATGTAGTTCCGTTTTTTTTGTAAAAACATAATTTCTCCCTAGTAATTTATCAGTGGGGTATCTATAAACGGATCGCGCCACGTAAGAAGCGAATCGTGCTTGTGCCCGGTACCTTCCACCACTCCTCATTGGAGTCGTCCAGGATGCTCAGTCTGTCCCCCGGCCTGCGAACAACAGCGAGGATTTATACGCGGTGTTTGTTTACGTAGCGTCTAAATGCGACCACGTCTTGGAACGCTGCGCATAAACAGTGGACACATTTACTTTACAGAAAGAGGCGGTCAGTCACAGGCAGAGAGAGAGAGAAGGCAGATCTTGAGCCTGCAGTTGCACAGTGCGGGGGAGGGGCGGTGGAAATAAGAACGCCTGGGGGAATTAACAGAAAGTTGGGCTTCAAACAGCTTTGCCCTTGCTATAGGAATGTGTAATTTCCACTGCTAGTTTAGGATTGGCAGTGGAGGTGAGCGCCACCTTTTTGCTCACTTTTGGGTAGGGGTAAATGTACAATTGTGTGCTATAGATGCATGGCAATTGACACAGAGTACCGTACAGCTAAACAGAAACATAATGGCACTTACAGGCCAGGGTTAACCGACGCTGGTGTCTTATGGTTGAAAGCAGAGTGTCCGATACATGACAGGACCAAAGTAACAATTTAAGTTGTGGGGGGAAAAAGCCATAGGGGACCAGGTCGAGTATTCAAGGGGCCCATGCCAGTATGGTGCCTGCCCTTTTGCTGTCCAGTAGTTTGACAGGGCAGCTGCTCCCTCCCCTCCATTCACCCCACCCATCCCATATATTCCATCACGCGTAATGCAAGACTGTGCGTGGCTGAACATCGGATGCTGAAGCTGCTGCCTCGTGAAGCAGATGCAAAAATTGGCCAAAAATGGAAAGGGGTGACATGTTCCGATGGGGAGAAGCAAATAAATTTGGGGCTTGAGCTCTCTAGCCAACCAAAATACTATCGTCACCCCGAACCCCAGTCCAACAGACCACCAGCCGCGAAGACTGGCCCTTTCACTGACCATACCATACCATAACCTGTACCTGAACCCCATCTTCCCGTGTTTCAATGGGGCCCATTTTTGGCCCATTTTTGTTTTGTTTTTGGAATCGTGACGGTGGCGGCATCGACACGAGCACCGAGCACGGGATGGGGGCTCCTGGGCGAGGGGACGACAGCCACTCACTCCAGAGCGAGGTCGTCTTTCTCGCGCGTGCCAAACCGGTGCAGCGCCACAAACGTGTACAGCTGGCTGAAGTCGCGGCGGGCGGCCGCGGCCGACGCCGGCACCGACGCTCGGCGCTGCCGGCGGTCCCGCTCGCCGGCTCGGGGGCACACGGCGAGGCCGGCGTGATGGCGGGGCTCCGTTGCCAGCGTGTCTCCCTGCTGGCAGGAGAGATGGGACCGACGGCCGTCAGGGCGCTGGATTTGCAGCGCGGTACGGTAACCACCGGGCTGCCGTTCCCCACGCGTGTGAACCCATATACCATACACGTGTACACAGAGATGCAACGCACATGAATATTAGAGCATAATCATGAGCGTGCAAGCTACGTCTGATACCTACTGAGAAGACTACCCTCTTGTCATCGAGACTCAGCTTCCTTAGCCGTCCCTCTGCTGTGTGGCACGCTGCAACACATTGACAACAAATACAGTAATACAGTGCATTAAATATTCACTTCCACCACGGGTTAAGGTTCAAATAAGACGGTGTTAAAAAGTGTGCGAGTCATGCCACAGTCACATCACTATAGCACCATTTAATGTGACTTTAAAAAACTCACATCAACAACACTGCCTTCATAGAAAACATAATCGGCAACGTTTCAGACAATGGCCATTCTGCATTGCACATGTGACTTTAAATACTTTTCCCCACGTTGCTCCACAAGAGATAAGAATGGGTACTTCATCTCACGACACGCTACCGATGGCACGGTCGCAATTAAATTGTGAGATTATTTTTGTTTGTTTGTAAGATTCAGGCGGGGAAACAGCACCAGATAGAGTGGATCGGAGGAGAGTCACTCACCACCCCGGGCCCAACTCCTCCGACCCTCGGGGCCCTCTCCGTTCGTGTCCTCGTCCTCTTCCTCATTTTCGCACAAGTCCTTTGGGCCCATGGGTAGCGGTGGGAATGAGCAAAATGCACAGAGCGGACACAACGTGTTAACCCAACCGCATCGCGAGCATGTCCCCTCTATGTCTGTGTTCCAGCCTCTTGGGGGCGAAGGTTTATATTATATCACGTACGTTTTTGTAAGATTCCCAGACCCTGCAGGGTTGGCTAAGAGACAGCGACAGGAAGATCAAGTTCCTGTCTCTGTGTGGATGTTAGCTCATCATGTGTGTGTGTGTGTGTGGGGGGGGTTCTATCACGAGTTCTCCAATCTCCTCCTGCACAATAAAGGCTCGTGAAAAGAGAAATGTCCAAAACCCCCCCGCGGGGAAGAGTTTTGAGACTCAGCAAGGTTCTCCTGGGTAAGGGACCAGGGGCGGAGCCAGGATTTCAGGCCGGGGTGACATTCAACAAATTTTAATTTCAAGAATGATTAGAGAGTCAGGCTGTTGAACTAGACGCCATCGGTTGGTGACACGCTCTGACAATGCAGTTGCACGGAGTCCGCCAGACCGAGTGTCGTACACTTACACGCAGAATGTCACCCCCCCTGTCACCCCCCCTGGCTCCGCCCCTGTAAGGGACATTACTAATTACTACCAATGCAACTACGATTACATTACTAATTACTACCAATGCAACTACAATTACATTACTAATTACTACCAATGCAATTACAATTACATTGCTAATTACTACCAATGCAATTACAATTACATTACTAATTGCTACCAATGCAATTACAATTACATTACTAATTACTACTAATTACTACCAATGCAATTTATTCAACCACAGAGGCTCTCTGTTTTAATCGAGAAATAGTAACTGTAGCTTCAATAAAGCATATTTAGTAAAAACTATTGAAAGTTGTCCAATGATTGATCTTAGATATGATACCAGACCATGACAGCCTAACTCTTGCGAATTATGCCACAGGGATCTTCAATGTCCGCTTTAATCCAACGGCAACTTCATGCAATATGGATCAGTGGCGAAACTCATGCCCCGAAATGTGCGTGTCAATCGATTATTTAGTGTTTAAGCATATGCTCATGTTACATTTAAACTCGTGGAACAAATGAGACAGAACGAGGCAGAACGAGCCAGGAAGGAGAAAACACGAGAATCGATACAAAGGAGACGGTAAGAACGAGAGAAGGCATCGATTATAGAATTGGATTGTGTCCCTGGATCGTGACAATTAATTTCATCTTGGGGGTGGGGGGGGTTATTGTGACTCATTACGTGTCCTCTGTACACCATGAAACTCCGAAAAGGCACGCAGAGATTAAAATAAACCAGCCCGACGGCAATGTCGACCTCACTTAGTTCAGAGAGTGGAGGTCTGCGGGCGCATTGCTTTATTACGTTAAACACAAGCTCCTCGTTGCAAGCACGGTCAGCGACATTATTGTGCATATTCATCGCCGACTAACACCTTGCCATTCTATGCTGGCAGAAAGTAAAAAGGCGTAAAAATGTTTTTCTTTTATTTAAATGAATGTGATTAAAGTCTGCATTCATTTAACAAGCCAGTGAGAACGTGATGAAAATAGGAAAGTGAAGAGCGAACACGAAGGGAATAGGCCATACTACTTAGTAAGAGGGTTTGGGGGCAACCTGCTAGGGCTGTAAGGATCCTCGTCAAATAGCATCCTACCCCAAAACTATCCCACCAGCTGAAAAAACAAGGCTTTACTCGAACTCTGGTATAAACGAGTCGACCAGGCCAAACACGAGCCCCGACTCCTACCCTAACAAGCTAGCCTTACCCATAACCCCAAAACAGTCAAGCACATACTATCCCCAACAAACTAGCGCATAACTAGATAACTACTACCCAGGTATCATCCCTTCTCTTCAATAGCGAGCCTAACTCTAACCCTAGCTCCACCGTGACAGAGCCTCACATTTCCCCTCCACAGCTGGGTCTGTGCACCTCGTCAGGGTGCCCCCCCACCGGGGTGCCCCCCTCCCATCGCACCCCCGTGCCCCCCACCCCCCGGTCCGCACCGCGCTGTCTTCGCGCGGGCTGCAGGGCGCCTCCCCCGCCGCCTGTGCGCGTCTCTGCTGGGCCAGGGAGGTTCCATAGCGCAGCGCCTCGTACACCGGGTCCAGCTTGTTCCCAGACGCTGTGTCCAGAGCACACCGGAGTACATCACATCACACCGCATCACACCAGAGCTCGCCAGAGTACACAGCACACCAGAGTACCAGACCGCACCATCGACACCCCACGGAGCACACAAGAATGCACATCACAGCTTGCAACAGTATTCCAGAGTACACCACAAGAGAGTACACAGCAACATGCCAGAGTACACCACGACACACCCCACACTTCCAATTAGCACGATTTGCTATGTACGGTGCGAAAAAAGTTCAACGTACGTACATACAGAGCACTCCACAATACACCAGAGTACATCACGGCACATCAGAGCACACAATAATACACCAGAGAAGCACACCACAGCACACCAGAGCACTTCAGAGTACACCACGATACACCAGAGCACTCCACAACACGCCAGAGCACACCAGAGGATCACCCCACGACACACCAGAGGATCACCCCACGACACACCAGAGGATCACCCCACGACACACCAGAGGATCACCCCACGACACACCAGAGCACTCCAGAGTACACAGAGCATGGAGGCGGGGGGCGGGCATCGAGAGAGCACATGGGGGCAGTGGGACACAGGAGAGGAGTGGACCGAGGGTGAGATCCATTCGGGTTGCGGTGTTGATTTAATGGGCTGGGGGTCGGAGTAGGTGGCAGGTAAGCCAGAGTGAGAGAGAGCCAGAGTGAGAGCACGAGTGAGAGCGAGAGAGCCAGAGTGAGAGTGCGAGAGAGAGGAATTGGATGTGGGGGGGGGGGGGGGGGGGGGGGGGGCACGTGGGTGGTTAGAATGAGGAAATGTGTTTTATGAGAGGACTAGGATGACTGCGTCATGGTTTATGCGTAACAGCTGTGTTCCTGTCCCGCATTCGTGTGCCATTAATAATTCAAGCGCCGTAAATTGAATGAGTGAATTTCATACATCAGTGCTTTACCGCTTTAAACAGGCAACCCATGTGTCCTCATGCACGAGCTTAAATAAGTGGATTATTGAAACTTGGAGCCGGGCATTCGCGTGTGTTACAATTAAAAGCGAAGCTGATATGCATGAAAACAGCTGCAGATGGTGGGTATATTTATGTATACACTCGCTTTAATACAACAAACAATTATTGGGTCATTTCATCAACATTCTGATGGAATGGGCTGCATTTCCAACATGGAAATTGGAGGTGTTTTTTTAAAAATGTTACTGCGCATCTTTGTCTGTATTCATCGTTATAATCGCCATCATATTTATTCATCGGTATAATCGTCATCATATTTATTCATCGTTATAATCGTCATCATATTTATTCATCGTTATAATCGTCATCATATTTATTCATCGGTATAATCGTCATGAAAGAACCGTGCAGTAAATTTCCATTTCCAGGCGAGCAGAATGACAATAAGTGCACAAACGGATCGACAAACAAAGCAACATTCGTGCCTCAACTTGGCTTTTAGAATTCTGAAATCATCACAACAGGAGGGCCCAACAACTCAATTCCCAAAACTTCCCGTCGGAAATCGTAGACTCACCGAGGGGCATGACTTCTTTGATGCAGGCAAACTGCCCGTTCAGAAGCAACGGAGAGCTGGACTGCCTCCTGAACCCTTTCGGCTGGGGCACAAACACAAACGCGTACGACGATATAGCGTTTTGCGTCAAGAGTCCACACTACTCACGCCATCGCCTCCAAGGAGGTCTCGATAAATACAGGCGCTGCTGGCCCGCTGCCGCCGCCGTCGTTACATTTGAGTGACTGACAATTCGGCTGTCCGTAGCTTATAATGTTTGCCAGCTGCTGGTCAGGTTACACCGCTGACACGTGGACAGCTCGATAGCACCATGCCGTGTCTCCATAGCGTTTGGAGCGAGCACTTACACAATGCGTTCACCGCTGTGGTGGCAATGCCGTCTGTCCACCACAGATAGCCGATGGGCGGGTCCCGTGTGGTGGGGTAAAGTGTTGGTCACTACCACCTCTTCCGAGAAATTTTGCGAAAGTGGCAGAGTAGACCAAATGCCCTCTAAAAGGCTCTCTAGAGCCTCCTGAAGTGAAGGCCTAACCACCAGCAGAGCGGGTGAGAGCAAGTAATTTCAGGGTTGTACCCTTAACAATGTATACATTTAAAAAAATCTAATAATGTATGTTTGAGTTGTTTAAGATTGAGAATTAGCATTCAAGGGTGGTGCGTTGGCGCAGTGGTTATCGCACTGTGCTATGATCTCGGTCAGTGGCGAATTAAATTTGAACCATAGCCCAAGAGGCCCCCCTTCAACAACCCGCACTGACCAACGTGGTGAAGTATGGTTAAACAAACCATCATGATTTACAGGGCATCAGGAAGCCTTCATTCAGCAGTGATTTGACAAAAGGGATGAGTACAAAGCTATATACGTGAAATACCAATGTCAAAATTTGAATGAATGCAAAAACCATACGGTGCAAGCGCAGTTTGACAAAAGGCTGTGAATCAGTATTCAATCCTGGTAAAACCTGCATTTCAACCCAGCATAGTGAAAAATAAAATGCAATACACATACATGCACTTGCACGTTGTGGATTATACATCATATGTAATACTTCAAGGAATGCAGTCTCACTCGCGAGGAGATGGCAGTAGAGCAATGGATACTTGAATCTATCTGTGCAAAGCTGTTAGTGTATGCATGGGCTATCTCGAGGTGCTCTGATATTCTGCCACATGCCAAATACTCGATGATGGAATTGGCCAAACATCCCAATGCCGGACCCTGCTGGAAAAGATCCTTGAGGCTCAGTGAGAAATATTTTATTTGAAGCCAGGCAGCATCAGTGATCTTGCCCCTGATGAACTTTTGACCTGACCACCCACCATGGTACAAATACGTGTAGGACAGGAGTCATCTGTACATTAACAATCTGACAAGACCACTAATGTATTGGAGTTATGGGACTGTAGTTGTCACACCTTCCATCCTTGCAAAGTGGCCAAGCAATAGACATGTGCAGTACACGACACATATTGACCAAAATTTGGAAACCTCTTCTAAGAAAAAGTTACATCCCAAGGACCCCGTCCACACACTCCATTATCTTCCAAGGTCCACAGCTCCAGGTAGGCACAGTAAATATCTCACATTCATCTTCAATCTGATCTCAATCTAATACGCTTCGTGTGGTTTTAGCCCCAGTGACCGAGAGCTCCAATCGAAACTCTCTGATCAATCTCCGCTCTTTCTCTGCTGCTTCCTCCATGTCTACAATCCTCTTCCAGATGTCGCCAGGACTATGAACTCTCCCTCCCCCACTTCAAGTCGGGGCTGGAGACCTTTCCCTTCTCCTGCATGACCGCCTGTCTCTTCTGTTCGAGGCATTTTCATCCTCACTACATTACCATACTCTCGTCACCTCTGCCGCTCTGCCATGCAGCATCTTAACCCTCACTCGCTCCCCTCCAAAAATAAAACCTTGCCCTTTCACAAGTTGTCTCAGTGCACATGCCCTCTCTCAGTTTCCGTCAAATTCAGTGACTTTGCAGATACAAATTGCGTTGGACTGCAGCGTTTCACCTGGGATGCACCCAATTCCTTCAGATTCTCAGAAGCTAAACATGAGATTAGCCTGGATAGCACTCGGGATGGGTGACCTCCGCAGGCGGCTGTGCGGCTATGCTGTGGGCAGCAGAAGGCAGCGCACGAAAATCAGTTGTTGTACTGTACTTCTATGCTTCTACATATATGCTCCCGGCCTTGACAAAAGCGCTGTACATGAATCGTTATCATCATCTGTGATTAATCCACGGCTGGATGAAGGCTTCCTCACACTGGCGCCATCCATCATGGGATTAAGGCCCATGGATGAAGTCTGACGACGGAATGACAGCCAAAGGAAGGAAAACGCAAGCAAATATGATGACCGCCGTGGAGATGGAGCGGCGAAATCGGTCCGCGTGCAGGAGTGAGATGGGCGGTGGCACGTCGTGCGCTCCACCGCCATGACGGTCGCGTAGCCGCCCGTGCAAGAAATGGGTGCCTCTGACCAATTCATCAGGAGTGTGCCCAATCTCAAAAGCTCATCATGATTTCGGCTGAATAAGTGCTTGGATGCACTACCACCGTGCAGTGCAGGTGTTTTAGGTGACTGGGAAAGACTGGCCAGGAGAGGGCAGTGCAAATTAATTATGTTGCTTGTATTTCCTCGTCTGTTCCCTGCCTACAACCCACGTTGACCAGCGGTGTGAAGTGTGGTCCAAAACCCACCACGGACAGCAGCAGGTAGCGCTGATCCAGCAGTGGACTAACCAAAGGGCTGTAGGTGTTACTAAAAAGATCTCCAAAATTCTAAACAAACACAAGATCCTGGTCCGGTTGAATACAGTATATAAAATCCGTGACCTGATCCCATCCGTGAAGGATGTCATTCCTGACTTACAGTACCCCGGGGTTTACAAATTGAGCTGCACTTGTGGTGATTGCTATATCGGGGAGACGAAACGACATGTCTCTGACCGAATTCGCGAGCACAAATCAGATTTGAAACACGGCAGAACGAATTATTCTGCCGTAGCTGACCACTGTTACAACGCTGTGGGTGATCACGATATAGTTTTCTCCGATACCAAGGTCCTTTGTAAACCCATGGGTTTTCATCAGAGATTTATCCACGAGGCAATTCAGATTTACAAACACAGACACAATTTCAACCGAGAAGATGGTTTCAAATTTAGCAACCATTGGAAAAATGTTCTAAATCATACCAAACATTAAACTAATTTTCAATGTTTCGATTTAAAGCTTTCGTGACTGCAATGATTCATCTTCTTTGGTTCTTTCGGTAAAGTCACGTAGAATGAGAATAAAATAATAAATTGATAAAATAAAATTGTGTTATTTTATTTTATCAATTTATTATTTTATTCTCATTCTACGTGACTTTACCGAAAGAACCAAAGAAGATAATTTTCAATGGTACAGTATATTTATCCAAGTAGTGATATACCAAACTTTCATAGCAGCTTAATTCACTTCACACCTACATTTGTAAACTCCCCTCCCCCTGCCGGTCCTCTACGTTCCACTTCACACCCCCTCCCCCTCTCCCCCTCCGTGCCGGTCCTCTTGTGCTTTACGGTCATTTTATGCTAATTCCTTTGTCAAAGCGTTTTGTTTCCTCCCACACAGCTTAAAAGGACGCGACCTGGGCTGGACTGTCTTCACTCCAACGCTGTCCTCGTGACAGTACGGTCCCTTCACCTGATGAAGGCCACTTGTGTTGTCCTCATTCCCTCCACTTTATATTTTTCGTGAAGGTTTCATTTCCCAAATCATCATGAACAGTCACACTAGATTTCCATTTTACCAAGTGTGAGTGGAAGGGGATCTGCTGCAGTGCAAGCGTGGCGTGCGCACAAGCAAGTGCTCTTACCATCTTCCCGACGCAGCGTTGCTGGCTGACGCATGCCTGGCACCGCTGGTGCACGCTCATCTTGCACGTCTTGCAGCGGATGCCCAGTTTGCTGACTGGCTGCACGTCCGTGCCTGTGGGGCAGCAACAGCGAGAAGAGAGAAAGGGAGGCACGCCTAGTCTTTCTTTAAAATTACGTTTGTCTTTTTCCCAATTTGTATCTCGATTGCGCTCCTAAAGGCGTCATGTCAAGAAGTGAAATATGCATACGGGACCTCACGCGTAACAGCGCCGGTAGGGACCGGTGCTGGTAAATGGCACACGGAAGTGGGCATTGCAGAGCTGGCTCTAAGATCTCTTCAAGTAACCTCTGACCCACAAAGTAGAGCATAGCACCTCACACTTGCCCACCCATTTTCCATACGAGTGTAATGTTTGTCAGTAAAATGATATTTAATGAAGTGCAGAATAAGGCACTTTCAAATATCTTTCTTAGCCTTTTCCCCAACAGTCACAAAAGCAGTGACGCCACCCCTCACTAGAGAACCGTCCGGGGTGAACTACTTCGGCCCTGGTCTAGACCGCCGTCATTGAATAACGAAGCTCACCGACGATCATGCGGTTGCAGACGTCGCAAAAGGTCGGCTTCTTGAAGCTGTGGTCCTGGAACGAGTGCCTACGCTCGGGGCACCCCGGCTGGATTCTCGGCGAGGTCGGAGGGCAGCGGCGTCGCGGCTCATCATCATCCCCGTAATCGCCTGCCCCTTGCGAGCTGCCCTCCCTGCCGGGCTCGCTGCGGGCCCTGCCCGGCCGCCGGGTCCGTACGACCGAGTCGGGCAGCAGCGGCGGCGGAATCCCAAGGGCAGGGCTCAGCACCGCCGAGCGCTGGAGCACGTTGTGGTCGCTCTGGCTGCGTCTGTGCAGCGCCTTCGACTTGAAGGACAGCGTCTTTCTCAGCCTGGCCAGCTGCACGGTCCGAACGTAAAACGGCACACGTACGCAGGCACGTACACACAAAGATCCTCCGAATGGCCTTAACAGACTTTTGGGGCAAGTGCTGTAGAGCGAGCACCAATGAAGGCCGCCACGGTAAACGAGAGGGGTGGGTGACCAGCACCACACCCGGCCACCTTTGTCTCCCCAGTGGTGATGATTTTACACACTGCACCAGGTACTCATTTGAGGCTGAGTCGACCTAGGGTATCGCTTCACAACCGCTCCCCACACCTATATATACACACACACGCACAGCCAGCCCTGTAGCCACTGGTGGAGCATGTGGGGGTTGGGTGGGGTGGCACGTGCCCCCCAATGATCCCATTGAAATCCCTAATTTCGATCAGATCATTGGGGTTAATTAGTAATAAATCGGCCTTTTGCGACCCCCACTGCCACTGTGTAGAATATTATTATGTGCCAGGGACTCTATGAGATGATAGGACAATAATCTGAGTCCATAATTGGCAATAAGTAATGGCAAAGCAGTTATAAGTGACTCACAGAATTGTGCGCAGTTGCGTATACAGTACACGACTTCCAAAGCAAACACCTTCAGCGAACGCGATGCCGATCACACAACGCGGTTCGAAATTGACCCTCGATCGTTGGCTGCGCCATCGCCGCACACACGTCGAATAAAAATCAAGGGACAAGTCCTTACTTACTAAAAACTCCTATCATTTTTCATTGCTGGAGGGGTTGCCCCCCTACCTGAAAATCCTGGCTCCGCCATTGCTTGTAGCCTGAGCTTGTTTAAAGGCATACCAAACACCGATTTACATATCACTTGCCACTGACGTTAGCCAAAGCCAGGAATTAAACTTTGCTCAATGGATTCATAGTGCAGCGAGTTGACCACTGCACCACCGCACGTCCCATAGTGAAGTTCACAAAACATAATTTCCATAAATATCCCCTACTGACATTGCATAATCATAGTCACCCAGTTTCCTGTTGTTCTGGTATAGAAGAGTAGTCGACTGCATACATGACCTGCTGAGATAACACCACGCTGTAGTTGTCATCGACAGGTGGAATGCTATTTGCTTGAGGTCTCCGGACACAATGAATCCCTTATAACAAGGCCAGGTGACAACACAGTTGTGTACCTGTGCACATGCGTGTCGTCGCGTTTAGTGAATCACGTACACTGCTCGTTCATGACGAATGTAAGTATGCATCCCCAGAGTTACTGGTGGGTGAATTTTTGCTTCACTTAACAATGGAGTGTAGACAAGAGAATACAAATATAAAATTAGATTTCAATTAAAGGATATTTAAATATGAAAACCTGTTGCGTACGGGAACAATTGTGGCTGTACAAAAAACCCCAATACATAGTACAAACTAATATGTGCAAGGAGGCCAGAAGATGGTAGTGCAGCAATTGATTATTTAATCTATGTGTGCAGAGCTTCGAGAATTATCTCCTCACATGTGTTGGCTTTCTCCGGGCACTCATGATTTTCTTCCACAAATGAAACACTCGTTAAATAGAACTGGCCAAGCAGCCCAATGCAGTACCCTTCTGACAGAGATTCATTGGACTCGTTGAGGCTATCCTAGGTAAATAAAGGACATTGTTAAAATATGCCTTTAATCTCATCAAAAACCGGTAAGGCTGCGGTCGATAAAAGTGCCCATTAACTGCAAGGGCAATGAAGCTTAAATAAAACACATTGGGCTCCTTGCTCAACCATCCCTCTATAAATTTCTACCAGGCTGAGATGCCCTGGCCCTTAACCGCGTTGTCAAACAATTTCAAGATAACGCCAACGAAATACCTCGTGTCGCCCCTGAACGTGGGCGTAAAGGTGTGAAATCAGTGAGCAACACGAATCAGCGATGTAACTGACTGTGGATGGCAAGTGTCGCGTGTGTTTGCAATCCGCCAAATTGGTGGGGGGGGGGGAAGATGCAAGGGTTTGGCGGATTTACAGAGATTTGTGGTACTCCGCAACTTTCTCCGCCGAGAGGCGGTGCGGTCGATGGCAGAGAAACGGGACGCGACTGCGTGACGTCACCGGCTGTTTGGACCTGTGAGTAGTTTGCCCCCCTTGTAGGAGTGGAATTTGTTGCAGGTTCGCCAGTTTCCTCCCCACCTGCAGCACGAAGACTCCACTAACACAAATTTAAAGCGGCCAAACATCCCAATGTCGGACCCTCCTGGAATGAAGTCTTCAGACTCGAGTGACACTCTCCTGGATAAGTGACATTGCCTCCGATTAGCGCGGTTGGCTACGTACTGTGCGAAAGAAATTTAACATGCATATACACATTCATGGGCGGAGTTTGGGGGGGGGCACGGGGGGGGCAATGTCCCCCCAAAATGGACACCTCTGATTAAAATTCATTGTCAGTAGTTTACAATAAAGATAATAAATAAATTAATTAATTCCATGCATCCGAGATTCCAAACATGTATGCAATATCCGTAACATTGCTTGCAAGGCCCTGCTTGACTTGCAACGCTGTTAAAACTCAGTCATCCTGTAGATCTCCACGTGCTTCAATATTTTGCCTCTTCCCTTGTCGCATCTATCACCCTCGTATCGCATTCCAGTGCATTCTTCCATCTCGCTCGTGGTCTCCCTCCCTATTCCCTACCACGTGAAACCTTTAAAGCTCCATCTGAAGATCAACTGGCATACGTTGCTCTGAACGGACCCTCTGGTGATAATGGAGGACTTAGACACCGGTAGCAAATTATGCTGCTTTTCTTTTACAGGCCACACTGATGATAAGACTCAGAGAAGTGAAAGACACTTCACCGTCTACTCGTTCAAACAAGCACTTGGAGGCGCACTGCTGCAGAAGGCTTATTGGTCGATAGACTTTGCTGGATGTGGTCTTCTTTTTCGTTCACGTGTTACCATCATTCGTTAAGATGGAGGTTTCCGCAACTTTGATTACATGTAATATTCCTACTTTATTCGGGTATGACTGCATTTGTGACTCATCACCAGTTGTTGCTGAAGTCGATCTCGTTCCACCGGGTCTCCGTAGACCAATGGTAACATTCACCATCTTGTTGCATACCAATTCGTAAATTATGCGATTGTTTGCCGTAGCGGTCTACGGAGACCAGGTCGCAAGGAGGGCGACCTAAGCAACAACTGCCGAGGAAGTCACGCACGCAGTCACACACAAATAAAGTTAAACTTTTAAGCGGTATTAATACATGCTGAGAATGAGCCATTCATGGGTACACTCCGCTACAAAAGCTGCTGTTCCTAGTCACAGCGATCCACGTGGAACTACATGGTGGGACCACATTGTGGAACCGCACCGCGGGTCTGTCCCGGTCGGCGAGTTCCTCCAAAATATTCCCTGCACTCGGCACACCACATCAAGTATAACCCTCTGGCTTTGTCTGTGATTACTCATCACGTGTCAAATATTTCATTCAACCGGTGAGAAATTAAGCCCTTTGGGACACGTGCGTGGGTGTTCAATCTGACGCAGGGCTCAATGCACTGCTAAACGTGTTGTATTGTAATCGCACGCTTTCAACTATTCATTTTATATGAGTTATTAATGGTTGAAACTACGGTTATAGATATAACAAAAGACATTTTATTTGTGTTTTGTTTGACTACATCATTCCCCTCCCACTCTTCCCTTTATTTCGCTTCCCCGTGAATCTGCTGCTCCCGATTGTCGTCCCTACTGCGGCGGGGATGATGGACCCAAATGTTCTTCACTGATCTCCGTTTGTAGGAGTTCTGTTCTGGTTTCGCTACATGCGAGCGAATTGTTTAACGTTTGTTTTTCTGTTTTTTTTTTACCTAAAAAATATATGAACATGCATCAATCATATAAATACATATTAATACTTGCTTTTCAAATACGTTGTGGGTACTTCCACAAGATAGGCAATCACAAAGTCAAATGTGCAATAATAATGTATAGAGCATGTTATTTTGCGGGTAGTGTCACTTAGGGGTTCATATTTAACAATTGGTTATGGACGTTACGCTGATATGGACATTTCAACGGACCCAACAATCAATTATGAATAATGATTTTGGTCCTGAAAGCATCCCGTTATGTATGTATGTACAGTGAGGGAAAAAAAGTATTTGATCGCCTGCTGATTTTGTACGTTTGCCCACTGACAAAGAAATTATCAGTCTATAATTTTAATGGTAGGTTTATTTGAACAGTGAGAGACAGAATAACAACAAAAAATCCAGAAAAACGCATGTCGAAAATGTTATAAATTGATTTGCATTTTAATGAGGGAAATAAGTATTTGACCCCCTCTCAATCAGAAAGATTTCTGGCTCCCAAGTGTCTTTTATACAGGTAACGAGCTGAGATTAGGAGCACACTCTTAAAGGGAGTGCTCCTAATCTCAGCGTGTTACCTGTATTAAAGACACCTGTCCACAGAAGCAATCAATCAATCAGATTCCAAACTCTCCACCATGGCCAAGACCAAAGAGCTCTCCAAGGATGTCAGGGACAAGATTGTAGACCTATACAAGGCTGGAATGGGCTACAAGCAGCTTGGTGAGAAGGTGACAACAGTTGGTGCGATTATTCGCAAATGGAAGAAACACAAAAGAACTGTCAATCTCCCTCGGCCTGGGGCTCCATGCAAGATCTCACCTCGTGGAGTTGCAATGATCATGAGAACGGTGAGGAATCAGCCCAGAACTACACGGGAGGATATTGTCAATGATCTCAAGGCAGCTGGGACCATAGTCACCAAGAAAACAATTGGTAACACACTACACCGTGAAGGACTGAAATCCTGCAGCGCCCACAAGGTGCCCCTGCTCAAGAAAGCACATATACATGCCCGTCTGAAGTTTGCCAATGAACATCTGAATGATTCAGAGGACAACTGGGTGAAAGTGTTGTGGTCAGATGAGACCAAAATAGAGCTCTTTGGCATCAACTCAACTCGCCGTGTTTGGAGGAGGAGGAGGAATGCTGCCTATGACCCCAAGAACACCATCCCCACCGTCAAACATGGAGGTGGAAACATTAGGCTTTGGGGGTGTTTTTCTGCTAAGGGGACAGGACAAACTTCACCGCATCAAAGGGACGATGGACGGGGCCATGTACCGTCAAATCTTGGGTGAGAACCTCCTTCCCTCAGCCAGGGCATTGAAAATGGGTCGTGGATGGGTATTCTAGCATGACAATGGCCCAAGACACACGGCCAAGGCAACAAAGGAGTGGCTCAAGAAGATGCACATTAAGGTCCTGGAGTGGCCTAGCCAGTCTCCAGACCTTAATCCCATAGAAAATCTGTGGAGGGAGCTGAAGGTTCGAGTTGCCAAACGTCAGCCTCGAAACTTTAATGACTTAGAGAAGATCTGCAAAGAGGAGTGGGACAAAATCCCTCTTGAGATGTGTGCAAACCTGGTGGCCAACTACAAGAAACGTCTGACCTCTGTGATTGCCAACAAGGGTTTTGCCACCAAGTACTAAGGCATGTTTTGCAGAGGGGTCAAATACTTATTTCCCTCATTAAAATGCAAATCAATTTTCTTTGGTTCTTTCGGTAAAGTCACGTAAAATGAGAATAAAATAATAAAATAAAATAACACAATAAAATTCTCACGACGTTTCGGCCACAACACAATCAGTTATTTTATTATTTTATTCTCATTCTACGTGACTTTACCGAAAGAACCAAAGAAGATGAATCCTTGCAGTCACGAAAGCTTTAAATCGAAATGCAAATCAATTTATAACATTTTTGACATGCGTTTTTCTGGATTTTTTGTTGTTGTTATTCTGTGTCTCACTGTTCAAATAAACCTACCATTAAAATTAAAGACTGATCATTTCTTTGTCAGTGGGCAAACGTACGACATCAGCAGGGGATCAAATACTTTTTTCCCTCACTGTATGTTGAACGTCTTTCGCACCGTACATAGCCAGCCGTGCTAATCGGAATTGCGGGGGAAGGACAACAAACTAAACACAGTTCTAAAGAAATAATCAGTTATTAAAAAATGTAAGTCATGCCAAGATGACATTGTCAATGTTTTAATCTGGTAAACAGGACCATGATGGGGATGGGACGAGGGAAGCCCTCATCCAGCAGTGGATCGACAGTGGCCGATGGATGATGAGCTAAATTATTTATATTGGGTTTCCAGTTTGCATGTTTTCAACCTGAGTTGTACCACCATCATGTATTTTCCTGGCTGATGAGAGTAAATACTTTCCATTTAACACGCGCAATATCTGCGTCTGCAGTGGCGTAGCTACCGAGTGCACAGGTGGCACAGCAGCACTGGAGGGGCTTAGATTCCGGGTTACCAAGGAGGAGATAAAATTGGACAGGGGGCCCCATGCAATCTCTTGCACTGTGGCCCATGCCGCCAGACACGCTAACGGCCACCCACCCAAACTGCGTATCTGGTTGTATAAAACACCTGAAGGTGAACTTCACATTCATCATCAATGTCATCGGCATTCATCATGATTTGGCACATCCAATTAGCACGGTTGGCCACGTACCGTGCGAAAGAAGGTCAGCATACATAACGCACTGGCCTCCTCACGTCGTCGACATCACTAGCGATCCAGTGCTGCTACAAATCCATCTCACTCCTGGACATGAACGGATCTCATCACTTCATTTATGCATTCGTTTTGTTATTCCAATCACAATCATCACTTGAGGTACGATTCATAATGCATTATTTGTCCAGATCGCGTAAGAAAAATGTGTGTCGTATGTCCTCCTCCACACGACCACAGCCGATTAATAAAGTTGTCACGTGATGAGCAAACGTGCCCATTACTGCTTCAGCACACCGGTGTGTTGGAGAGAAATCCACACCATGTAACAATCTTATTTACCATAGAGCTCTACGATAAGGAATAATAATTACAGTACACATTTTACAGAGCATAATCCGGGGATACATTTTTCATCGAATTATATCCGGAGCTCAGCCTCCGGGGACAGCTGCGTTGGAAATTAAGCCTTTCGAATAATATAGTTTCGCAGTAATAGATGTGAACATTTATACCGAAAAATATCTTTCACACGCGTCACATAAATCTTAAAATTACAAAAACACATTTTCTTTACGTGTACATGCGAAAACTGCCAACAACCGCCCTCACCGTTCCCAACCCGCGGCCACAGCGTGACCCTTACCGGGGACTCCGCGTGGCTGGGCTCGCTCATGGCAAGGGGATCAGGGCCCCCTGGGCTCAGGGGCTCGTTCTCCTTCTCGTGCTGAGCGCTCATATCGGCGGGGAGGCACCGTCGGCTGATGATGCTGCCGTGCCCCCCCTCTCCCCCTGCTGCTGCTTCTCCGTCTTCCTCCTCTTCCGTCTCCTCCACCTTATCTCCGTTTCTCCGTTGCCCTCCTCGCCTCTCTTCAACGCGCGCGGTAGCTGCTTAAAATACCATTGGCATGCGTGCTATGTAAATTATTGTCCGTACACATACCACAAAGGTTCCCGTGCAGTCTTTAACAAACTGTTGGAGTCCGGTAGGGCGCACGAGGAGATGCTGTGGTGTGACCTCCACCACCACCACTAGCACGTCCGGTCGCCTTTGTCTCTCCGCTTGTGTTTACACACCGCAACAGGCGCTCGTGTATTCAGGCTGAGTCGATCTAGGAGAAGCCGCAGCAACAGGTTCTGATATCAGCCGCCGCCGCCAATCGCCAATAGTCGTAAGCCAGGCATCGAACTCGGGTGGTCGTGGGTTCGTTGCTCAGTGCGCGCTGAACCCGACCACCGCGCTCCGCCATACGCGCTCGCACATTGGCAACGAGGTGATCCGGAATAACTTGTTGGGTGGAAATCCCAGGAGGCTGTCAGTTTGAGAAGCGGCGGAGCGCGGCGTGGCACGACTGCAGCGGGTGGAGGATTAGGGTGAGGATGAGCAGAATGAGGAGGGTGAGGAGGGAGGCTGAGCCAGGAACAGAGCGCGAATACAGATCGTGCTCCTAGAGCAGAGTGCTGGCAGCTGGGACGAGACGCTTATTTTTTTCCAGTCCTCACTTCGGAATCCGCTTGTGCTTTATATGTGCGTGTCCCCCTAGCCCCCTGTCGCACCCCCCCCCCCCCCCCCACCCTACCCCGTTCTCCTCTTTATCACCCCCCCTCCCTCCTCTTCGCCATCCCTACTCGCCATGCACAAAAGAATCCGCCTCCTCCACGTCCCCCGTCTCCACGCAAGCGCAACCCGCGTGTGCGCGCAACACATCCATCGTGGTGTTTGTGTGTTTGGGAGAGCGGTCGCGCAGCGCTTAGCTGCACTGCGCCACCGCTCCCTAGAGTGACCTTACGTTCGATTCACGGTCACGTTGTAGCATTAGTGGCAACGTTGTATAAGACGAGTGGCGAATTTGTGTAATTGTTTGCAAGTGGTGTGTCCTGGGTCTCCCCAAGGTCGACTCGGTCTTAAATGGGTACCTAATGCGGTGTGAACATCGGTGCAGCACGAGGGAAACAAAGGCGGCCAGGAGTGGTGCTGGCCCACTCGACCCTTTCGTATGCCATGCCTATTGGGGGAAGGGGGGGGGGGGTTATTTTATATATATAACTTATGTGTATATGCAAACGTGATTATATTACATAGTTATAAATGATCTCATCGTCATCCCGATCCATGGACAGCTAGCACGAATGTGTCCACTGCACGTTTCATCATTTGTTTCCACTCTCCCCCTGTCTTGTGCCAATATGCTCAAGTCTCTGAGGTCTTCCTCTCTTTCCAGTTCCTTCCATTTTGCCGAACAACAAACACCACCACTTTTACATTTCTCTGTTGTCTATTCTACATATGTGTCCAAATAGTGCCAGTTTCCTTCTCATCACTTCCTGCATCATCAGGTCTTCTTCTACTGTGTGCAACCTTGTTCTTATTTCTACATTGATCACTCTTTGGGTCCAGTTTAGATCCAGTATCCTTCTGTAGCAATACATTTCGAATGCCAATATCTTGTTTCTGTCAGTCTTTTTCAATGTCCAAGTCTCGCAGGCATACACAACTGTCCTGAACACGCATGTTATAAATAATATACTGCATATGTAATATATAACAATGTTGTATATATCGTTAAATATATTACCATGTTACATTGATGAAATATAATATTGTTATACTTATAATCATGCCCTCGTGAAATGGCAATTTACGTACCGATTTAAAAAATAGAAAGTTTTAAGTTAGTCTCATTTGCAAGAATAACCCGGGGTATTAGTCTGCCAGTAGGTGGCGATGATTGTAGCTGTGTGTACACATCCCAATTGACGAATTTACGGTGTAATTTTCGACTCGACAAATCTGGACCCTGACGTCAGCATCCAATGGCCTAACTCTTGCGAATGACACCAGAGGGAGTCTTTAACGTCATGCGTGGTGCGTCTTAAGGTTATTACATCCATTTAAGGTTAAATGGATGTATTTCACCGATTGGCTCTGCTCTTTATGAGGCACTTGTCACAACCCTCGTGGGGGATAAACAAATCGTACTTGAGATGTCATCGTCAATGGAACATCGTCATCAACGTCGTCCAGCCACGATCAATCCACTGCTGGATGAAGGCCTCCCAAAAGCCGGCAACCATCTATCACGGCGCTACGATGTAGAACGATCGACACGTGGCTTCCTGCACACGGGCTGAAACCCCATGGACCGACAAAACAATGGCCAGATGCGCATAATACGTGAATGCGTTTTGCATATTTGATATTCGTAACCGGTAGAGGGCAGTGACAGTTGTCATTTAGCTTCAGCGTCACACTCAACGGGAGGCAGATTTACTTGGTTCACCGATGCAGGGCATCGTCAGCTGCCCCTGTCCCGTGAGTGAAAACGGTCAAGCCCCGCGGGCTGCCATTCCTGGGGCCCAAATTCGAAGAAGGGAAAATATTTACTGGAAGTTAAGAGTTGTCAGAATATTATTTATAGACCGACAACAGTGGCCTTTGCTAATTTTCATAGCGGTGGTGGTGAGGGCGGGCCACTTTCTCCGACAGAGACATCAGTCTTCTTTGGTTCTTTCGGTAAAGTCACGTAGAATGAGAATAAAATAATAAAATAACACAATAAAATTCTCATGACGTTTCGGCCACAAAGCAAGCGGCCGCAACGTCGTGAGAATTTTATTGTGCTATTTTATTATTTTATTCTCATTCTACGTGACTTTACCAAAAGAACCAAAGAAGATGAATCCTTGCAGTCACGAAAGCTTTAAATCGAAAGAGACATCAGTGTGAAGGCCGCCACACATTGTAAACCATCGGGAGTTTGACAGCACGATGATGATGATGGTGGGGGGTGGTGGTGTTGTCACGCGTTGTGTATTGTCGGGGACCGCACGCCAGGGGCCGCACTAAAGGCCACCAGGGGCAGCCAGTGGCCCTAGGGGCCTTGCAATGAAGAACACTGGCCTAGAACATCATCGCAATGTACGCACTGCCATTCACGATCGTTTGCACGTGAGTGAATTGATCATAATCGGCCCTTTGTCAATGTCTTTCTGCCTGAAGGCCTCCTCCTTCTCACGCCATGTCGGTTCACGTGGGACTATTAGACCTTCAGCACGCTGGTTAGCGAGTGTCAGTAGCGGAACGTGAAATGAAGGGGAGCCATTCCATGAAGGGTCACCAAGTATATGCTGTATGTCATTTTTTTTCTATGAAGAAAGGCCATTGCCAGAAACGTCAACTCATATACAGGGCGCTTTAAAAAAAAATGTTGACACTTCTGAGAATTTGCAACAATACCACAATAAACGTGCTGCTGCCTCCGGGCTCTGGATACCACCTGAAGAAGATTCCAGGCCACGTGTTGACAATGATGGCGACCAAGTGAATACTCTTTGACTTTTTGAAGTTATTAACATACATTTGTTATCATGTTACAGTGTGTTATCCGTTCATTTTCCCTTAAAAACGATAGCCCCATGTAAGTGTTAACATTTTTTATTTGTTTTCCTTTTAAGGTGTGATTGACGACTACGTTGCGTTCAATGTTTGGTTGTGCTTGGGCACCACTGCGACGTCAAATAATGTTTTAATATCTCGGTCGGTCGGCGTGTGGGGTGTGAGGGGGTGCTGGGAGATGGGAGGGTGGACGCGTTCCGTGATGTTTAATGAGATGCGCATTGAGGTGGATCATTGGTCACTACATCACAGGGTCGCGAGAGATGACGGCGGCTTGAAAAAAGCCTTTATCCATGCAGTGGATTGATAATAGCTGCTGCTGATGGTGGTGTTTGGTGGTGCACGAGAGATGTAGCCATGTGGGCTCCTCAACAGGGAAACACCGCGTGTGTCCATTTAGCACGTCGGCTTTCGCGACCAATATTATTCATGAAAAAATATTTTTGGGTTAGATCGCGTAAGTATGAATGTGTCGTAACCCTCCACCACCCGACACAGCCAATTAGTAAGGGATTTGTCACGTAAACGAAACGCCAATTAGTTACTACTTATAGAGGAAACACTAATTAACTGATTACTAATCTATTAGATAATTACAATACCCCTCCTCCGCCTCTGATCTCTGCACCTGATGGGTTCAGTGATGACGTCATCTTGCTCTATTTAAGACCAGAGCAGGTGGATGGCTTCACTATTCTAGCAAATCGCCCGATGATGCTGGATGTAATTACCAGCGAAACGTCGTACTCAAATTGTAAATGTTGTGGATTTACTCTCCAACACACGCGCCCGTGTGTAAATGCCTTTTATATAAATCGATTTACTGATTGCTTGATTAAACGAAAATATAATTCAAACTAACGTTTACAATGCTCTTAATAAAATATGTACAGCAATGAATACTTCTTACCAGCATAAATTAGGCTTCAAAGACAAATTGAAAACTCAAAGGACAAACAAGACATAATAACACTTAAGTATGCACAGTGTCCTCTGTCAATCCACGGCTGAATAATGTGCCTCCCCGTGCCGTCTCGGGGTCGTTTGACCATACTTCCCCACCTCAGTGTGGGTTGGTGAAAGGGGAGGGATTGACAACGCTCGCCACTGATGTTAGCCGTGTGCCAGGAAACGAACTCGACGTTGCCGGGTTTTACAGGCGCATTGCACGAACCACTTCACCACCGCTCCTCCGATGACTCTTTACCAAAGGTCGCAGGCAAGGCCCTCCTGGCATCGTCTGGAGGGAGAAGCAGTGAGGCTTTACTTGGTAAGTAAACGACTGCGGCGACTGTATCCACGGCTGAGTGCCCCCCCCGCCCCCCACGACTCCCCATTTGCAGGCCACACGACGACTGGAGTCCCGCGTGGCACCGCTTACAGTCCCACTCCGTCTCGTAAACGTATTTGGAAAACTCAACTTTTACGCGGGAACATGCCCCGCGGTATGAGCGCATGCACATAAACAGATCTCCATCTACAGATGTGCATTCGCTACAGATCTACAGATGTACATTGGCCGGACAGAGACCCTAACGAGGTGGTCCATCTGCGAAGGCAACGATTCTAAAATGAGCCAGGTAGCTGCCCATCGGCCCACGCAAAGATCAGATGAGAAATTCAGACCAAGCAGATATGAGGCAGACCAATATCAATTGGCCTGACTTAGAGAGGCATATATGTAGACGGTGATCCATTTTAAGATACTGTGAGAAATTAATTTGGAACATATATAGAAAATATACATTTATTTCAAAGCCTCTACGCATCCCGTACAGATCTCAGTGCGCGTATTCACACATTTTAACGCTCTCCTCTGCACGAAATTGAGCCACCGCTTTCACAAAACTCGAGCACATGTTGAAAAGAAAATAAAGGCCACGAAAACCTGATGGTGTATCTGTTAAATGGATCGCCCTGCCTGCTCTCTCTTGCTGGCAGAAGGGTCCCTACACCAGATTAAGCTCTCTAGAGCCTCATCGGAAGGTGTTTGGCCTACTCTTCCTCACTGCAGGCAAGGCATCTTGAAAGAGGCGGGAGTAAGCACAATTGACCTGCCGTTCGTCTGTGGTGTATTTATACTGCTGAGTTGTATAGACAGTGGTGTGGAGGGGGAGGTGCATCACTACAAAGGTTTCCAATGTTTCAGCTGCCGT